AATCTAAATGTGTATCATGCTAGGCATTTGATATACATTCACTACCAGTAGGAAACAATTCAGCATACAGCCAAAAATACATGCTCTAAAATCAATAAAAACAATCATTAAAATAAATCCTTATCAAATTCTGTAAATGAAAGCCACTAGTTCCAGCAGTCTTTATGGTATATAACACATGCAATCATCCAGAAAATTGTAAGTCTTTCAAGCAAGCAAATATTTATTCTTATTGATTCTTTTTAGAAAATTAGGAAAAGTGAAAATTTGCCATAATCAAAAGCCATTTAGATTATGTGCCATAAACTTCCAACACATTTCTTAGTCTCCTCAGAGCCCAGGGGGAGAGGGGCTGGGGAGGAGTCCTTTTCAGCCTAGTAAGCACACAACCACTAATTGCAACTTTAAAACACAAGAACAGTGGAAAAATTATAAAACACACCCGTAATAAAGATAGTGCATACCAGTAAAATCTTATCCTGCCATTGAAGGCTTAAAGAAAACCAAAAAACAAGTCTCAAGCTAAGAGACCAACAAAAAAACAGCTGGGTCTCTGCTGCTACAGATGATGCTTCAGGATATTAGCTACGTTTTTACTGACATATGTTACTAGCCAGCCTGCAAACATCTTCACAGAATGTAAATGGTCTTGAAACATCTGGATTTTTTAATAAGAGTTTCACCAATGCAAGGAAACCAAAGCATCTTTTTTGATGAATTTACTGGACACAGCTGCAAGCCCGTTTGAACTTATTAGAAGAATGTCACTGTAAGCAACCATATTCCTGCCATTCTTAAAACATGGATGATTATGAAACAGATCCCTGGCCTCCTGTTAAAACAAACACATGTGACTATCTTTAATTCAAACGCACCCTCTTCTGTTCCCTTACACCTCCCTTCAACGCATCCTTTTGCAGCACAAGCAACTTGATTTCATAATTAAACGGTTTATACTGTGACCCTCACAAGGCTAGCTAATCCCACGCAGGAACCAATTAAAGTTCAAACCCCTGGAACAAGGATGGACACAGCTGTAATAATCTACAGGTCTGCAAATTGTTTGGTAGTACAGTGCCACCTAGAGGAAAACTCTTTGAACTGTTTCCCCAGCATCTTCCCTGCTTCAAACCGAACCGAATTCATAAGGTGAGTTAATGTGTCTCTTTCCTGTAGAGTTTAGCTGTGCAGAAACTCATAATGTTTGTCTCCAAACGTACTGAGATGCTTTATACCCTCAAGGATGACAAAAGGCATCCTCCTTCACCTTGCATGCTTAATTCTTGCCCAATTTGAAACCTGCCAGTAAATCACAGGAAATTTAGCTCTCTCTCTTATCAGTGCAGGACTAAAAGAAAAAAAAAAGACCAATCTTCTTTGAAGAGGTAGCCTGCTTTACATAACATTGGAAATCAGACATTGGAAGGGAAATAAACTCTGATAGAAACAATATCCACAGTGACAGTGCTGCTAATGCCTTTAAAGCGAACATGACATGATACGCAACATGCAGAAAGCAAAGATACCAATTTGGACATCCTGGATTCCCAAATCAATGAGCGAGAAGTTAACAGAAGCACTGTGGTGAAATAATGACAACAACTGCTATATTGACATGGAAATTATTTCAGGGGAACATAAGATGGCACCTACTTGTCCTAACTAAATGCAAATACCACCTAGAAAGGTGCTCACAGGGCAAACCTTTCTACAATGTGCCTTATGGTGTAAAAATGAAGCTGCATTTGCAGTACAAACCACAAGATTTGTTAACTCAAGTACAGCTAAGCCCTGCTGCAGAAACAGTTATTTACTTTGGTATGGTTGCTGGTGCTCTGAGAGGGATTTTCTTTGCAAGGATCTTATTTGCTTTCCTGTAAATGTGAGTGAACACAAACCCTACTGGTATGTACCTCCCTGGGTTCACGAAATGTTCCCGAATACCTATGAAAAACAACAGATGGAAGGCACTTTTATGAGCCTGCTATGTGCCTTCTGTCGCATAAAATAGTTAGTGAATTGCTAAAAAAAAAGTCCATAGCCCAATCGAATGTCACAAAGCAAAACTATCTTGCGTCCACCACCAGCTTTGAATGGCATGAATCTATGCAATGTTGATCAGACAGTCATATTAACATGGGAGTAGACTTCTGCACCTACAGTGGCCTCAGCAATTGGCACCCCTTATAAAGATCAGCAAATATAGCCATATAAAATAAACAGCATAGAAAAAGAGCTATAGTGTATGACCCAAAAGAAGGGAAATCGGCTTTTATTCTAATACAATTATTTCAAAACAAATGATTTTCAATGAGTATTACTATTTTTTCTCAAAAACATAGCTGTCAGAAGTTTTTTTAAAGAAAATCAAAATGAAATCTGCAGTGAAAATCTGCCCATTTAAATACAATTCCGTATTTAGGAACATTTTTCGGACTTCCTTTTTTACAGGATATAAAAATAGAGTTAAGATAGGTGAGAAAACCTTTTGGCATCCATCACAATGGGGAAAGGCACAAAAACTCACAAAACAAAAGAGAGGAATGGTTGTTGGACTTCTCAAAGCGGGTAATGCATATCAAGAAGCACATGAAACATTAAATACACCACTCATCTCTACTGAGGCAATAATCAACAGGTTTAAAACCACTAAACCAGTGGTTACCTAAGAGAATGCAAGTGCACCTTGTCCCCACACTCGGTGAGGAAGGCAAAAAGAAAGCATGGGTCACAGTTAGAGACCATGTGTGTTGGGGTCACCCAAGTCTCCAAATCAACAGATGGGACATCCATGCCAACAGGCTATTTAGAAGGGTTGCCAAAAGGAAGCCCTTACTAACAACAAAGAAACTGAATTGGCTGAAGTTTGCCTAAAGCCATTGGGACTTTGATTGGAACGGGGTGCTCTGGTCAGATGAGACCACTCACCCCGTCAGCTCATTCGGCATCAGAAAAGGGTTGCATACAAAGAAGAGAACCTTATAACCTCTGTGAAATATGGCGGCAGATCATTGATCTTATGGGTCTGTTTTGCTGCCACTGGCCCCGAGCCCTTGTTAAGATCAATGGCATTATGAGCTCTACTAAGTATCAGGATGTTCTGCCTGAAAACCTGGTAGCCTCTTCCAGAAAGTTGCAAATTGGTCACTGGTGGACTTTCCAGCACGACAATGATCCTAAACACACCTGGCTAACTGAAAAAATACAATTCACATTTTGTAATGGCCATCTCAGTTTCAACACTGAAACCCTGATTGAAAGCTTGAGGTCTGAACTGAAGAGGGCAAACCGTAAGCACACATCTAAGGACATCAAGGATCTGGAAAACAATACAGAAAAAGGCTTCGTGCTGTTGTCCGAGCCAGAGAAGGCCGTACCAAGTACTGGAAACAGGGGATCCTGTTTAATCATTTTAACAGCTATGTCTCTGAGAAAAAATAGTATCCCAAAAACATTTGTTTTGGAATAACTACATTAGAATAAAAGCCTCACACTTTGGGGGGGCCTAAAATATAGGTCATTATCTGTGCTTTTTATTTTATATGGCTTTTTTTGTTCATCTTTATCAAGGATGCCAATAATTCTTGATCCCACGGTATCTTTTTTCAGTGTTCGACTGTGCTACGCAACTGGTAATTGATTGAATCTCTTCTGCAAAATGGAGCACAAAAGCATCATGCTCCCTCTGCCTACCACACTTTACTCAGGCATCTCAAGATGAATTCAGCAGTTCCTTAATACAGTTCAGAGAACCAGATAGCCGGACACGTTTCAACACTGTAAGATATGAACCGTCTGCAGCTGGGAGATAAACCAAACAGGAGAATAAAAACTCCTGAAAAATAAAGGCGTCTTGTTGTGGAGGATAAGGACAAGCAGAGCTGGCATAATGAAACCTCGAAGAAAACGGATGGAAAAACTCATTGGTGTCCGGTGAATATAGCAAAGAGCATTCTGAATTCAGATGAAAACAACTACTTTAGAATTCTTGTGGACAAAAGACAGACAACTGATAGAACTAATGGAATTTTATGCTATAAATTGATTAGTTAAATTTAGCAAAATGAAAAAAAGGAGCCAAATGGTGCCCTCTCGTTTTTAACCAGCTCTCATTTGTACACATTTTTTCATATATATATGGACAAGAAATGTTTTTTTTTTAATGGCTACGATTGCTTTAACATCTCATGGCGGACAGTACGCTTTTGCAAGAGACTTACTTTTTGCAACAATTCAAATTTACAAGATCTTTTGCAATATTTATCTTTTTAATACTGAAGTTAGATTTCATAATGAATCTCACTTGCACACTATCGCTTTCCCTGGGAGATTTTATGCACCAGTGTCTTTAAAATCACCACATCCGTTAACATAAAGTGCATTAACAGGTCACAGAAGGCCACAGCTAAATCACTTTGAAGACGCGAGATCTTCATTTAAACAGGCAGTTAGCACAATCCAAATGAGAATCTGCCATGACTGAATCCTAATGAGCAAATGAAAATATTTGCTCTAATACGAAAAGCCATTTCTCACTCTATTTAAAATGCCGTTATTTTAAATAAAAGCATTACAAAAATTGTAATCCTTAATCTGCACATTTTATTTAAAACATTTGTACAAACTATACCCTGGTGCAGACCTACACAACAGGTACTTACTGGTATAGTGCGCTCTGTTGACTTAAGTGTAAAATACATTTTATACTTCAGATAAAACACGGGCATTCTCTAGCACCACATATTTAAAAAACGCTACTTGACAAAATGCTATTACCATGGTATGCAAGAGATATCAGATGTCCAATTCGCCTAGGTAATATAAAAAAAGCACGATACTTTATGAGCTTAATTTATTTTTATGTGGCTAAAATTGCCTGTAGCTATAACATTTAATGAAAGCTGGGTTTTTTGCAAACCGGAGAGGTGTGTGTGGTCTCTTCACTCCTACTGAAAAGATTTATTCTAATTATTAAGGGGGAAAAAAGGATTATTCCCTACCTTCGGAGAGAATCTTCATCTGAATTCTCTTCAGGCATTTCTTGGTTTAAGGCCTCTTGTGGTACATTCCCTGGCCGGCTTGCAGCTCCCTGCCCATAAACTCTCTCCCACTGCCCGGTCTCCTGGTTATAGACCAGGCCCACTGTCTGCTCCCCTTGCGGGGTGGCAGGGCTTGGCCTGTGGAAACCGCTCTCGCTGCTGGATGTCCCGCTGCCGGGCTCCACAGCCCCCGGGGCCCCCCCTCTCCTCTCCGGCGGCTGGGGCTCCCGCGTCCCACCGCCCGTGCCTTCAAAAGCCGGGTTAGGAGCTTGCCAGGAAGTGCCCTCCTCGCTCGTGGTGGAGGAGGTCTGGCCTGTCCTTTCCCAGCGCTGGGTGTCATGGTTGAAGGTCAGCAGGTTATGGCAAGCCCTACACCGGTTGAGGTGGCCACGGAAGAGGTTGGAGCTGTTCTCGCTGCTGTGGGGGGGCTGGTAATGGGAGGGCCCGGGCCGGTCGGAGTCGATGTTGTTGTTGAGCAGCTCCTCGGTGGGCTGCGGCTGGGTGCCCTCACCGCTCATGGCCTGCTCCATGTCCTGCATGCGGTCGTACTCCATGAAGTAGCGGCTCAGGTTACACTGGAGGACGTTGCGGATGGAGGCCGGGCTGCTCTGGCTCGCCTCGTCCAGGGGGTGGTGGCCGCTGCTCGTGCTGACGGTGCAGCCGTTGTTGTTGTTGTTGGCGGCGGCGGCGGTAGTGCTGCCGCTGCCGCTGCCGCCACCTCCGCCATCCGCCGGCACGTGGAAGCCCCGGCCCTCGGTGGCGGACGTGTAGACGGGGGACGGAGAGCCGCCCTCCTGCTGCCTGAGCACCGACAGCAGGCTGACGGAGGAAGCGCTAGTCCGAGGTGGGGGCATCCCCCCACCGCCGCTGCTCCCAGGATCCCCCGTTTCACTCTGGGTGTTCCAAAAAGTTCCCGCCAGACGCCAAGAGGGGTCCCGGGTCATTTGCTGGTGCCCTAAGGGTTGATTGGCCATGAGGCCGAGCAGGCCCCTGCGCCCGGGGCCTGGCCACAGGTTCCTCAGTGTGTTCCCCGCCGTGCTGCTGTGCACGCTGCTGAAGGCGGAGGGCCGCTCGCTGCCCCTCTGCTCGCTGGGGAGCCGGGGCTCGGTGCGGGCGGAGGTGAAGGTGGAAGCGTGGGGGGCCGCCTCCGAGCCGGCTGCCTGGGAGCCGGCGGCGTCCTCGCCCGGGAGAGGGGAGGACGGGGGGTTGCGCGCCACCGAGCAGCGGCTGCAGAAGCACACCATCCCCAGGTGCTGGACGCAGCCCTGGTAGGCCGGCCGGTCCCTCAGGGAGGTGTACCGCCCGGAAGGCAGGCTGGGGGGCACGGCGCTCTCCTCGGTGGGGGGCTGCTCCCCGGCTTGCGTGCCTGAACTGCGCGAGGAGAGCATGTGCAGGAAGTTGTGGAGAAGCGGGGTGCGACGCACAGGCTGGGACTGCAGAAGGGAGCGCTGTCTGAAGTGTGGCATCTCCACGCTGTCCATGGGGATCTCCGAGTCGTCATCATTCTAACGAAGAAACCAGAGAACGAGTCTGAACGGAAAACTACCAAGATTTTACGACACAGCAAGCATGTGCACTGGAAGAAGAAGTTGAACATGTCTCAATCTTGGCTAAGGAGCACAACAAACATACATGAGCAAGATTTTGTCAAGTTTTGTAATAATATCTTAGGATCCTTCCTGTGTAAAAAAAGAAATACTCACCTGCTGGTTTGAAGGGTTAACAATGGCTGTCAAAAGGTTGTGGCCCAATGGATCAAACCTCACCAGTCTGAAATGTAAACAGTACTTTTTATTACATTCTGTAAAGGGTTTAACTTGGTGTTCTTTGAATTTCGTTTTGCTCTGTATTTACTTTTTTTACTTCTTGTGACCTCAGTACAAGTCTAGAAAATGAGATCTCAAAAATCTGACTTTTTTGCAGGGTGTTGGATCAGAGCAAATGCAGAACAAATAATGTTATTGCTAAGGCACTACATGCTGTGCTTCACGATCCATACATTGAATTCTTAATCAGGTCTTACACCCTTTTAATGCACCCACTTTGAAGAGTTTCCTAAAAATATAAAAAGATAAGAAAACAAGTATTAGGTACAGAAAAGCATCTTCCCACTTTAAATTAGTTTTGGTCTTACACTAACTATATCAACTATATCAAAGAATGTAAATTAGTAAACTCTATCAGATTTTCTTAGCTTTTTTCTCTGTTTCTTACAAAACATCAGACATGCAGTACTTTACTCTTATTAGTAAATCTACCTATCTACAATCCTCAACCAGAACTTTTAATCTGATGTAAGAAAGGTTTAGCATGATGAAAAGAAGAAAAATCTTCATGACTATGAAAGAAATTCTTGTATTTCTTGCACTTGTTTCAACCACAGGACTGACCTGATGCTTAGAAACCACGATCAAGGAAAAGGTTATTGCTTAAGAAATTGAATGAACAAGAAGCAATTGAACAGAGTGCACTCAGTATAACTGCATGAGAGGTTGTGTGGTGAGAGGGGTAATAAATCTGAAACCTTCTGAGGTTCATAAGGAACACTTTAATAAGGAAAATATCAGGTAATCACAAGCACAAATAAACTTCAGGAACCCACCTGAAAAGAATTCTATCACACCCAGGTATAGACAGTCCATACTACCAAGATAAAGCCTTTTCTCTATCTGCCGACTTCTCTTTTTGACAGATATCTCTCTGCACACATCCTGCCATCTTGTTCATTTGTGAGGTAAAAGCAACAAAGTAAAAATCCGTTTGGGGTCTTCCAAATTGAGAAGACAACAAAAGTAGTAATAAAACTGATGCTGGACCAACAAACTTTTAGAAAGGGAATAATGTTTCCATCTGTTGTACGCATCGCACTCCCTTGAAGATCTGTGCCCCGCTCACCTGACTCGCTCCATCTCGCTGGCGGTCTTCACCACAGCGAAGGGCTCCCTCCGGCTCCAGTCCCAGAAGTGGATCTCGTTATTGGTGGCGATGAGCAGGAGCTGGGCAGTGGGGTGGAAGGCCAGGGAAGCTATAGCTGCGTTGCTCTCTGTGAACCAGTTCTCACTGCCACCCTGGGAGGGCAGAAAATGGAAAGACATGGCAGGGTTGAAACATCGGCCGAAAAGTGAAGGAAAGGAGCAGAGCAAGGGTATTCAATATCTCCACAGTGAGGTACACTGGAAGAATTTATCACTCAGTCAGTAGAACAGCTGATTTTGCTTGTGCCCATTTCTTATTTCTTGTTTTGCGATGGATATGCTGCTCCACACTTTCTTTATGTGATGCCGCTGTCATTACAGGGATGGGAACACATTAAAACACCTACTTTACCAATGCACTGCGGTCCCACTCTGTCTTTACATGCTGCACGTTCTTATAGAAGCCAGCACCACGTACTGAAGAACACAGGCTTACTGTAGTTTACTGCAGCAGAAGTTACCAGTTGAAATAACATTTAATGGATTGTTCTTCTAAATGTGCACTACAGTTCATTAGATCTGAAATGAGTCACATTTCACATCGACTTGCAAAATAGTCCATTCAGAAATAATAAAAAAAAACAAGAATGGTTTCCCAAAGCAGAGGACAGGACACCCGTAAAGAAAAGTGTAAAAGATGTTTTGAAAACAAACCTTTGTACTAATCCCTTTTTGGTTTCTACATCCAATGATTTTGTGATTACACAGATATTTTATTCTTATCTCAACAAGAAAACTACACAAAGACATGAGTATTTTGTTTGTGCTTTTTGTTCGTTGTCTTGCTGTTTGTTTTCTTTGTATTTGTTTCTTAGCTCTTCTAAGTTTCTTAAATTAAAAGAATCAGAAAAAAACAGCTCCAATCTCGTATAGTTCACACTGTACGAAACAAAAACATTTACATTTACCAAGAGGGCATGCTCTACATGTATTTACATGTAAAATGAAACAAGATCCCTTCTTCCTGATGAATTAAAATATAGAAATCACCTGTGGTAACTACAGCTGCAGGTAGGCTGTTCAGTGTTATACGTCCCTACAAATTCAGGCCACAGTACCATATAGACACCGCAGACTCATACTCACATGCAGGTCCCAGATGCGGACTTCTCCGTCCAGACAGCCTGATGCCACAAGCCCTGAGATGGTGGGGTGAAAGGTCACGCACCAGGGGGTACGCCGGTGGCCCACCAGCGAGTGGATACACTTGCCCGTCTTCACCTCCGTGATGTAAATGTTGTGATTCACATGGGTGGAAGCCATTAACGTCCTAAAGCAGAGAGGTGGGAGGAAAAGAAAGGAAAGCTGAGGCAGCTGGAATTAGCAGAACGCACACATTCATTTCCTTCAATGAGCTGTGCACTCATTTGCAGTCAGTGCAACCAGAAACCCAGCAAGTTTAAGAAACACTCCAAAGCAGGTACAACTACAATTATATACATGCACACCTATACCTATATTTTTCTAGTGAACAGAATGAAAAAAAAAACAAATAAGACACAATACAATCTACAAAAACAATGAACAGCAGACAGTTCTTTGGAGTTGTGATTTTAAGAGGAGTAAGTGAGGTCTTAAGGTATAAGTGAGTGTCATTCATCCTCACAGACTGATCCACCACCTTTGGAATCTGTGATTATCTGTAACGGGCTTTTCCATTGAGAGTGTGTATAATAAATTACACAGTTCTTGACTCACGGAAAAGTTCTGAAAACAGAAAGGGAGCCAAATTTTCACGCAAGCACATTTACTGTTTTACACTTTGATGGTAAGAGGTTCCATACCTATACACTGGTTAGCTCACTTGAACACAAGTTGTAATATAATAAATATTATGCATTCTGCAACAAAATAAATGAAAAAAATGTATGGGTTAAACAACACTATAGTAATGAGAATAAAAACGAATGGATTAAATAGCAGAAGTTCTCCAAGGAAGCTGTATGTGGCCATAAATAATACCCATATATGCAGATTAACCTATAAACCTTTAAATTAAGTAGTGGTAGATTTATGTTCAGTTAAATCTGTGTTCAAAGTCGAGTGTTATGTAAGACGGGGAGAGCCAGTAATCAGCTGCCAGTTACTACCTGTCAGGACTGAAAGCAAGCAGGAACGTTGAACGAGGGCTGTCCGGCAGCTCCACTTTCTGGAAAGAAAAAATAAAGACACGTTAAAGGACAAGGCACTCCTAGCAATGACATCATGGGACACAATCAACATGCAAACCTTGCATGTGTATCAAATATTCATTGATCTCTCCACCCTACTGTAAAAACACTCAAATAAAATGTGTAATGTGTTTGAAGGTAATATTTAAAAATAAGACAGAAAGGTAGTCACAACATACATAAGTAAATCAAGTGGGTAGTCATGTCAGCATGCATAGGCTGCAAAGGAACAAGTAAAGGTTTATTCCATGCAGAAAAGAGAAGAAAAGAAACACAATGTTTCAGCAGTGCAGCCTTCTTCACAGCAGAAATGTTGTATTTCCGTTCTTCTCGTTTCAGCATGGAATAAACCTTTACTTGTTCATATATGAGTAAATTATCTTCAATAGGTTATATTCAAGGACTGAAATGATGTACCTATAAAACAGATCCCTAAGACGACCAGACCTACAGCGCTCAGAGCACCAGCTTTGCCACTGTCTGCTGTGGCAGCTCCTATATCACGGTCCTATTCCTCATGCCAAAGAGACCCGGGCATCATCCCACAGCCGAGACTGCATCCTCACCTGGCTCTGCCATTTCATGCAGCGCGCCTTCTCCTCCACCAGCTGCTGCAGCAGGCGCTGCGAGCCGAAGCCCTGGGCGCCACGCTCCCGGCCGGACAGGATCCGCACCGAGTTCTTCTGGTGAGTGACCTTCATCGCAAGCCGAGGGCCACTGCCCCAGCCTCAGGACACGGGCTCAAATCAGGGCAGCTACGCGCAGGCCATGCAGAGTCTGAGCCCGTCCGGGAGCACAGACAGTGAGAGAACACCAAAGAGCGGATTATGAAGGAGAACAGAGCAGATGGATGCAACAACTGCTAACATTGCTGAATTTACGAGGCACTTCCTGAAGACTAGTGAAAGCCATTGTAGTGCAGGTGCAGTTTGCAGCACTCCCTTGTGAACATCAAATGAGTTGGAACTACTACTCATGAGCTGGATTAACATTTTAATAACTTACATTACACATGCATTGCGTCTTTCTTGAGCTGAACTGCCTTCGCGACATAAATATGTGAAAACCAGAGGGTACTTCAGGGTTAAAGCAGCTCAACTCAGTGTTTAAAACAGTAAAGGCTTCTGCTCAGACAGCTGTTATGGACCAAAAGATCGTGGTTCAAGGCTGGGCCACGTCACTAACGCAGTGTAACTGTGACACAAGAAGTGGTGAACATTGGGTGTAGCTCTGCAAGGTCAGGGTGGGGATCAGGCCACTGGGATCTCCTCTGCATGTGGTTGAACAGCCTCCAACAAGAAACCTCATCACCTTATCTGCTCTGCCTGCGCTTGCTCTCCCACTATTGCAAAACCTTTTCTTTAAAAAAAAAAAGCCTTGAAGAACCAGTTATTTTCCGATTCCTTCCCGATTTGGAACCGATAACTGCACGCCTTTCTCCTCTCAGCTTGCTGACACTGTGCCAGCATGCAGAAGAAGGCCCTCATGCTTGAAGTAGGCTCAAGAGTTGATTCTGTGTGGGACTGACCTCAAATTATTTTCTCTCTGCTCTTCCAACATATCTGCCTCACAGTCTGCTTTGTTTTAAACTTTTTTTTAAATCATTTTTTGTATTCAGTTTTTGTTTCATTAACTATTCTGGAAGTCACCCTGGATGAGGCCACTTTGCTAAGCAGATCATTCCTGGCACTGTGGCGCTGATGCTTGTTAAAAATTTCTCTGACAAACAGATGTGTCACAGGGGCACGTGTGCTGGTCCACGTTCTCCTCCTGCCGTATGAAAGTTGCAGCCATAAGTCACAAAATAATTGGCAATTCCAAACTGGGCGGGTATATAATAAAAATAATTAGCGATTCCAAATTTAAATAAAAATAAAACACAATGCAACAGCCAATTCCACAAAGCATAAACGTATTATTTCATTTCAGGGCGCATCTGGTAAAATACAAAATACACAGAAAAAAAGCCATCTGCAGATGATTTCAGTAGGCCTTGAACTGCGTACACTGGGCTAGGCTGCAGTTGCACTGTCAGTAGGGAACATGGCAGGATATCAAGCATTTGGCTGCAAAATCCAAGACAAAATAAGAACAGAGAGAAGGAATTAATTAAGTCTTACTAAATTAGTAAATTAGTGAGACAACAGAGCAACTCCAAAACGAAGCGCTCAGATTAGCTCAAGTTCACAGCTTGGCATCCCTCAGGTCTCAGCTTCGCACAGTCAATATGCCTCGATCAGAAAGCTGCTTTAGCCAGCTCATCTCCCAGGAAGACAATACTCTGGGTTTCTAGCAACATCAACCAAGCTGCCCCTTCCACAGCTTGCCCATCCACACTCCAAACACCTTGCAATGCTGCCATCATCTGCGTCAGTTGAGAGCCTTTTTCCCCACTACTGGGAAGGTCTTCAGACATACTCTTTCAGACTCGAGATCTGAAGAGCTTCGGTTTCTTAGATGCAATGGCCAGTTAAATTGTTTCTGAAAATAACTGTTTACCCACTTTTTTCTCATAAATGCAAGCGATCCTATACATCAGTTTTAGATTTAAATCAGATTTCTTCCTAGGTTTAAAAAGAGAGTACGGCTATAAATGTGAAGTTGTTACTTGTTAGTACAATTATATTTAAATGAAACTGAACAGAAATGTGTAACTATATTTTCTATGATCACTGCTGCAAACTAAAATCATTATTAAAGTATGAATTGACCCTGTGTCTGAGCATCTCCATTCTGACTTTACTGAGGAAAAAGTGCTTTATACTGCCCAAGACATCTAAGCCTCAATTCATGGCAATAAATAACATTTTAATAATAAGCATTTGGAAAATTCACGTAGGTGAACTTGCAGTACAATGACAGCTAAGACTAATTATCACCTAAAAAGGAGCAATTAAGAATTTGAAAAATTAACTAAAAATGGTTAATTTTTCAAATTTCCTAAAGGTGCATTTGCACATTTAGGAAAATGTACAACTTGTAGTTTCTACTTTTGTTTCTTACCTAGATTCTACATTCACCAAGTTACATTTACCCACCACACTGATTCGCATAAAGCATGCCATTAATAAGACGACACAGTGTAAACAGAAAAAATATTTATGATCAATGCAATAAATGAGAAATGATTTGGAATGCAACTTATCTTTCGTGCACAAAACACACCAGAGGAAGGTTTATCTGGCAGTGCCATTTTCTGCATTTTCTACACAAATCCCAGGAAAGCAAATAAAAATGGTGGCAATTAAATAGGGACAGGCAATTAACATTTTCAATAATTCCAAGAATCAACATGTTTAAAAAATACATCCCCATTGTGCAATGTTACTTCCATGAACTCAACCGCAAAACATTTAACATTTCATTACTTTACAGTAGTCACTGACTGAAATCAAAAATATTTAACATTTTCGCCACTTCTGCCATTGTCCCCTCTCAAGTGTTACAATAACAGCAATTCCAACTGAAGAGTTTCCAAATGAATAAACAAAACTGCAATTAACTGTAGTTGAAAGGCACAGTTCCGTAGAAAATTAAGCAAGACTGCATCAACACTCTTAACTCGATGTTGGAAAAACTAAAATGTTTGCTGAATTTACACCTAATTGATTAAATGATTTGCTTAAAGCTCTGTAATGCAGGACAGCCTAGCACTGTTGTATTTATAAATTGTAGAACCAGGTCTATAAACAACAGCACTGCTAGATAGGCTGATATTGACAAACTGCAGAACTACACTTACCAACAAGTGCATGGGTAGACAGGCTGCTATTTACAAAATTCAGAAACGGGTCTACAAACAAAACAACTGCACTGCTGCAGAGGCAGGTATTTACAAATTGTGACACTACATTTCCAAACAACTGCACTGCTGGACAGGCTGATAGTCACAATTTTAGAACCTGGTCTGATGCAAAGCAGGTTAGGCGGATGTGTAAAAAGACAGCACAGAGTGGTCAGAGAGAAAACGGAAGACTCGTTACTTTGATGGAGACATGTAAAACTCTCAACATTATATGCACAAAGACAGATGGGTCTGCAGAACAGCCTTCTTCTTGTCCCAGACCACCACGGATGTCTTTCATTTAAAGCTGAATAACAAAAACATTTGTACAGTGTCCATTCAATTTGTGCCACTACCACAGTAGATGGAATAAAGCAAAATCGAACTGACAGTTCTCCGACGCTGATGTCTGACAGAGATGTTGTCTCTGTACTTGTGGCTACATGCAGATAAAGCATGTGCTTATCATACAGCAGAACTTAAAAGGGAATACACTGATCATCAAAGATGATTACAAAGTCACCAGTGTGACATGTGAACATGTGGACCATGTTGAACAGATTGGTTATGATTTTGAAAAAAAGAAGATAAAAATGGTTGACTCAATGCCTGTGATCCAGATGAGACTGGACTGTTGTTGTGACACAGTACAGTTTTTCAGATGTACTGATGACTGAGATTCTGGGTAATATTCCTCTGCACTGGCAGTGAAACCATAAGCAAAAAGGCATGTTAAGATAATATACGGGCAATTTGCCTGTGTACATGCCACTATCACAGAGTTTGCTGAAGCCCGCAGAGGGTAAGCGAGGTTGTTCTTGGAAACTTGTCTGTTTGGCAGAGAGTAATCCTGAAGTGGTCTGCCAGCATCTCACGCAATAATCCAGCAAATTGCATGGCTTTATGAACAGCTCTGGGCTAAAAGGAAAAGACACACAGCCCCCTAATTGGATTTACAACACATTGATAGCCCAGACACCTTCTTCAATCCTTTGGCTGTTATATCTTTTTATTTTTTAAACCCACTACGAAGCACACAAAAGTGCCACCCTAATCCTTTCCTCCACCAATACAAGAAATAAACAGCTAGTGATCTAGTGATTTATACACAGCTCAGCTTTGAATCAGCTATAACAAAAGCGATTACCACAAACCCAAGTACGAGCAAAACTAACCCTTAATACCAGCACACAGTACAACTAACTAGTTTATTTTCTAAGTAATGGTCCGAACACACTCTTCCATATAAGCACAATACTGACCCCATCAATGGCTAGAAGAATGATTTGGTGTAGCAAAAAAAAAAGCACATTTATGCTCACCCTATACATTTGACATTGGGTTCGCATTGAGTTTCTTCCTCACAACATATATAGTATATTAGGTGATAACACCGAGATTTTTTTAAAGGAAATGTATTCCATGATTTCATAGTACATTTAGCAATAAACTGAACCGCACTGCACATGATTTAATATTTTGTATTTCTATGTACGGGCAAATAATTATGCAAACTATTTTAAATTACTTCTGATATGAATGCAAAAGGACCGATTTTATGCACACCTGTCAAACTTAGCACATCGCCCATGGCGTGCAATTCGTTACTTTTTTGCCACGTATATGTAACGATGGGGCCTACCACACTATAGTGCCTTTCACACAATCTCAATCTCGGCACAAATGTAGCCTTTAAATGTGCCGACAAACTTTGGCAACACGTCATGACACCAAACAAAAATGAGGACGGAGTTTTTTTTTTTTAAACGAGTCAAGAAACGCAGAACGTTTTAGAACAGCTTTGAGAGCAACGCTCAAAAAACGAAAACTTGCATGCACTACAACTGCGCAAAGCACAAACAACGGCATCGGATCGTGATCTAAAACAAAACAAATGCGTGATTCCCGATATGTTTTAGCACAATTTTAAAAAGAAATAAAAGCAGGGAAGTGTTATGCTGGGTGTTCCTATGGTTTGCTATACGAGAGGACAGTTGAAAGGAGTGATAGTGATATACCAATTCACTTCACCCACGAGCTGCGTATTTATTACATCAAAATTAAACTGGAAAACTATCAGAGACAGTTGCACAACATGGTACAAAGAAATCAATTGTGAATACGGAGTCTTTAAATTCCAATACAATTGTTCAGTTGTGTCTCCATTCCACAGTTAACTCGTGAGCACCGCACCAGCTTAGCTCTCACAACACTTATCTAATTCTAGCCAGAATCGGAAATTATACACCCTTCATAAAAATGTCATTTGAGCTCAACACAAATCAGAAAAGATATCGCGATTTAAAGGGAGGCGTTTATTTTTACATTTTTATTTAAAAAAAACTTCCAACGTCAACAGGAAAATTGGAACAGGATTCCACACTCCTAAAATTTCCTAACTGAATCTAAAAAACGATTCTAAATCGCTCCCGGTGACACAACACTATATTATCATTAATAATACACGCAAACGGCCATTAAGATATGATTTAAATAAGGAAATAACACAAACACACCCGAAGGCCTAGGCCTACCTTTTTTTTTCCTGTATTTTTGTTGCGAGTTTCTCCAAGACGCAGAGTACCTGTAAATGCAGCTAAAATCTCTCTTCTGATACGACTGGATAAAAACGGGTTACCCTGGCTTGCATTGATTATATTAATATCGACTGCGGCAGCGATTTTAAAAAATGTTTTCTTAAAAAACATTAAGGTTACAGCTTGTGCACACAGAACACAAAATACATTCAAATAGGCAGCCAGAACAAGCGGCTCACAGATCAGCGATATCTAGCTAATCGAAAACCGAGAGCATGGATCGCTCGTTGACGAGGAGGGTTCACGGCTCCTTGCAAAAGTATTCAGCCCCTGCAAAAATTCAGCATTTTGATTAATGCAATTTTCTAATAGAATCAAGCTCTGAGTCTGCCCGTACCACACAAGGATATTCAATCTCTTTTTGTCAGATCATTTCAGGTTTACAGCCTTGTGCCTCTCGTCTTGGTGAAATGTGAATTTTTGACCCAGTTTTAGATTCTTAAGTGTCTGACGACGGGTTTCTTTTGGGATTTACCTTTACTTTGCACCTTCCTTCCTGAATCCTGGCATGTTTCCAGGAGTCTCTGCTGATCACAACTATCCTCAAAACACAGCCCTGCCACCAACGTGCTTGACAGTTCTGATTGGGCGATGTACTCTGCTAGACGCTATACTTTGTTTTCGGACATAAATGGACGTTTTTGCCTCATTTGACTGTAAAACCTCCTGTTGTGTCTGTGGTATCTTTCACAGGAGAGTGAAGATCAAGTGTTTTCAGTACACGCTTCCTTCGTGCTTCTCATTCATAAAGGCCTTGCCTAAGGACTGGATATCGTCAGTGTATGATTAGCGACTCCCATCTCAGACTCGGATCTTTGTTAAGTCTTTCACGGTCACTGATAGCCCCACGGTGCCTCCGTAATCCCTGTCTACTGTCCTGCTTGTCCAGCAGCTCAGTCAGAAAGGGCAGCCCGAGGTGGTAATGATGTAGCTGACGATGCAGATCTGTGCATTTTTATCACATTTCGAAAAATATTCAGGGATCACAAATATCTTTATGCACAATATTAATATATAGGGGGATAAATCGGGTATCGTCATAATGTGAGCTCTCGAAGCATACGCGGCGACGCGTACTCGCTTTAAATTAAATTATATTTTAATCCCAATCTACTGAATGCACTTCATTGCAGTTACTGTACTGTATGTTAACGTGCGGTTGATGGGATGAGAAAAAAATATTTAATCTGTACAAAATATACTGTACATACATCGTTGCAAAATATAAATCTGGTAGGTTGTAGCTAATAGAAGTACTCAAAAATGAAGCACCAAAAACAATAAAAAGCAGAAATAACATACTTATACTAAACTTTGGCGAATTAAGTTTTCCTTTGATTTGTGTACGCCATACGTCGTGCAGACGCCTTCTGCATTCGGCAAGTGTTTACCATTTTAAATTGGTATGAACAGAAAGAAAAATATTTTTCTTTGCAGTACATTTCAGTGTTGTATTGGTGTAGGCTTTTTGTTTCCTTCTTTATAGCTGAGGGGGATTTTGTGTTTGTTAAATAAAACGAAATCCCCTTGATAATGTGCGATTGATTGGATGTTTTTAACATAGGGTAAGGGGCGGACAAATATGTATTTTTGTTTGCTTTAAGGTAATAATACATTTGTTGTGAGAATACCGTCGTCGATAGCATTTGCTGCGACGCTAGATTGCACCCTTTCTGTTTGGAGAGCGGACAAGGGTCATTCAGTCACGCTCTTACAACAAAAAATAGCCATTTTACTCAATACTCTTTATTTACATATCATTTACTATATCAGTTATCATATATTTGCTCACGAAACAATTGCAATTTACCAGGTGAATGTTATACAAAATCAGTAGTGCAATTACATAGAAGACAATATACCACTAATATATTTTGTGTAATTTTGGAATTTCTTTAATATAAATTATAAATCTGTATAAAGTTAATATGTAGCGGTGCAAGAGAAAACAATATTAAGTCTGCTTTGTTTGTTTATAATGGTTGCAATACAAAATAAGATGTTTGTGCTGTAGTGTTAAGGCGATCCAATGCTTGTAACACTAGGACACGAAATATTATTATTAATAATAATAATAATAATTGCTTACACTTATATAACGCTTTTCTGGACACTCCATTCAAAGCGCTTTACAGGTAATGGGGATCCCCTCCACCACCACCAATGTGCAGCCCCACCTGATAATCCATCTAATAACACAACATGCATCCAATCACATTTGCAGTTAAGCCCATAAATACCAATACATTTATCGATTAATGTACCGAAATTTCAAACTACCTTATCCAGATATTTTAATATTATATATAGTTGAGAACCTTTTAATCTGCTAATCAAAATACTTCTAATCTCAGTTCACACTAGCCTTGCTTTCGCAATATACGAACCGGAACTGCCGGCATTCATTCACTTCCGCCCTACCAACATGGCGGCAAATTTACATACGATTGTGACGTTACATCGTAGATCACTTCTATTTTCTACGGTATGAATGGACGCTTCGTAATGTGACGTAAACACGTCGGCCCCTCCCTGTGCCGTGACACCCTTCGGTCCCCGGCCGGTTGTTTTTTTTATTTTCTCCTGAGTGGTGCGGTGATGGCGTGTGGGGTCCCTTGTTCCTCTTGGTCTGGCAGGTCTCTGTCTCTTGTCGTGCTGCTGTTAGCAGTCTCGATCGTACTGCACACGGCAGTCGGAGAAAGGCAACTGAAATTCGTCACCCTGGTAAGCCGGTGTCCCTGGATTTCGATTAATAACTTGGTCGGAGGGTAGTAAAGAGTGCAGATCCGGTGTGCTTTGTGTCTTCAGGGTTATCGATCTGTGCACCGTCCAGCTCGCCCTTGTGTCGGCGAACTGTCCTTTAACACAACATTTAAGGCGAAGTTTCATGGAAATCCGGGTGCGGCGTTTTATGCAAATAATATTCAGGCTGCACTGATCCTGTAAACGTAAGTCAGAATAAAAACATGTCATGGTTTCGGTAACGCACCTGTGCATGAGAAGAACTTTAACTTTGCCAATATAAATAACGATTTTTCTGTCGTCGTATTTTATATTCTTATATTGTTTTTCATTACTATCTGTTTCTTCTTGCTATGCACTTGCTGTAATTTAAACTCAACATAACGTTGGATGAATCGAGTAAACCTGTTATACAACGAACTGCGTAAATAGTAATTCCGTTGAGGGAAAGTAAACAAAAACCGTTTAATTGTATGCAACTCTTTAAACACATTGAAAAGTATATGGTATTTTCGAGGTTCTGGTATTGTTCAGCAGGGGTCTCCCTCCAATTCAGTTTTGGGTCATCTTAAATTACCTGTTTTGTTACAGAACACTTTTTATGGTCTTGTGTTTTTATGGAAGTTATTGATTCAATTAAGGGAAATTGTCTTTTCAGAATGGGTGTTCAGATGTCTGTTCTGAATGATCGCCATATCACTCAATAAATCACCAGTTTAATTGATCACAATTAAATTGTATTTGGTCTTTAGAATTTGATGATTCAGTGGTACCATATAAAACCCGGAACATTAGCATGGATCATGATCAGGGGCATAGACTCTCTGTGTTTATTGCAACATTCGCTACAGTACATTCAGTACAGTGGAACTCAAGTTCCACAGTTCTTTACAAAACTGCAATTTATGGGTGAAGCAAATGGGTGCTTCTTGTGTCTGTGCGTTTTGCAAAAAGCAGTCAATAACAGTGGCCTTTGTATACTGAAATGCAGAATAAGTCATGCACAGACACAGTCAAATCTTTAGTCACATTGAGTCACTTTAAGTATGGTGATGAGTGTTACTGTCTGTCAGATAAACTGTAAAATATCTGCATCCATAGGCCTTACATTTGTGTTTGTGTTACACTCTGTAACGTGCTGACATGGAGTAAAATCTACTGTCTGTGAATATTCTACCTCAAGGCATGAATTCTCTTTTGTTATTGTTCTGCCTCTTCTGCTGTTACCTGAATTACCTGATTTGGACCCGGTGTGGTGTGCTTGCTAACATTAACATGACACAGAATGTGAGGTTATCTGATTGAAAACAATTTCCACACAACACAGCAAGTACACACTGATGAAGCAGCCCTCCAACACACACCATATTAAACAAAAATCAATGAAATGGGGGAAAAACACAGTCACATGCACATGTAAACATTAACCCTACTTTTGGCAAACAATTGTAAAAGATGCTGAAGGTAATTAGCTGAAGGGGGAGAGTTCAAAGTTCACCTGGCAGTTGGAAAGAAGCTAACGTTGAAGCAAGCAGCACCTCAGAGGATCGATTGAAAGCATTTTCCCAAAGGCAGGAGCTGAAAAAAGATTCTGAGCTGGTCTTGTAGGCGCAGCTGAAGGTATGGCTTGTGTAAAGGGATGAAATGGAAGAGAGTTCATAGCCTATTTTCGCAGTTTTGGTCCCTTCCAGTTTCTTTTGTATGGCTGTACAAGCTCCCCATACCAAACCGATCAACCTGTCACAATACTTTGAATTCTGGCTGTGTCAAACTGGGGGAAGAAGTTGGGGGCTCACTCCGTGCTTCTTAAGCAACCCGAGAAAGTACCTCCTCTGCTGCACCCTCTTCACTATGTGATCTGTGTTGGTGCTGCCTTTGAGGTTTTCACTTACGTGTGTCACCAGAAATCTGAAGAAATTTGTCACCCTATGTGACCATTGGGGGGTCATTAATGATGATGGGGAGTTTTATTTTCTGGACACGTCTAAAATCAAGAATCGTGCCCTTAGTTTTAAGTGTATCGAGTGGAAGTTCACGATCAGAACACCCAACACCTGTCGTTAATTTATAAGACCAACAATAGTGGTATCATCCACATCTTTCAAAATCTTAACAGAGTCAACCTGAGGTGTGAAGTTTTGTAAAAAGGGCATAATGCCGCGAACACAGGCTTTGGGGACAGCCTGTATTAAGAGGGAAAGATGTTCTGTTATACTCTTTGACTGTTTGTTGGCGACGTGTCAAACGGTCCAGAATCGAACAACAGATAGCACAGTTTATGTTCAAATCGAGCCATTTATTAAGTAATTTATGTGGGTTCATGGTGATGTAGGCTTAACCAAAATCCCCAAAAGGATCATGGGAGTTTGGCTTCTCCAGATGCTGGAGTGTATGGTGGAGAGCCAGGTTAAAATCCTCAACAGACCTTTTGACCCTGTAAGTTATGATTTTGCGTCTAATGACACGTTAAAACCCAGCTAGCTATTCATGAAGCAAAGCGGACTCACTCGGTGTGTGTGTGTTGATTTTGCGCCACTCATCTAGAGTTAGAAAGTCTTATAGCTTCTTATGAGGTCCCCGTGGATTTTGAAGTTGGAAACATTTTCAGAATCACATCTCTCAGTAGCGAAAATTGAATCTCTCCAAGTTAAGATGCTCTACTTTGAAAAGGGAAGCAGTCAAGCCAGTATATCAGATCACCAGACTCGAAATAAAACCCTATCTCTCTCAATTTGAATCCTGTATTTTGGTTAAATCTTAACGAGTACTTGGGAAGCGAATAAATGATTGGTTTGTCTGTTGGGATCCCAGATTGCATACAATTTCTGAAGAGACAGCTGAGCAGATGGTTTTGGCTGACTTTTATTTGCACGAAAAAGATGAGAAAGCCCTTTTTTTGGCAATGCTGTGGGATCCCTTCCACAGAAAACGCTGAGTGATTCTGATAAACAAAAATTCAGAATGTAGACTTTGCCAGTACTTTTCAGTGGCTTGTTTCAAGTGGTTGTGGAACAACCTGAGAATTTTCTGTGCTGCGGAAAAATACTTTGCGGTAACTAAGCGTTCAAAATTTTAATTTCTCCCGTAGCATAGCACTCCAAGATGCTCTCTCTAAGGGGAATCTTCCTTGTTTCCTGCTTAGGGTATTTTTAAAGGGCAGCATTTTGATTGGGAATAGCCAGTGACCCGTAATTATTAGTTTGATGTGACCCGTCCATTTTCCTCCTTTGAGGACAAAGTGTGGAAGGAACTCCATTACAGAGCTGCAGACTAGTCAGGTTGGTCAGTTTGTTTCCATTTTCAGCCTCATACAGAATCACATTAAGGTAAACAATGATGTGACTTTCATTTATGTCGCTTCCATATCTGTCTAGGAAGAACGCAGAGAGTGGCGAACAGGCTAGCATAATTTCCCAGACAATGCATGGCAATGGACAGCACAATGCTGCTTTGAACACGTGTCAGCTGCCCAGCAGGCGACTGTTAGGTTGTGCACAGTGAACATAGAAAGACTTGTGTGCCCCTACTTGTCTTCCCTTGCGGAAGAATGTGTACCTTCCCCAGCGGGCGACTCGTTTGTTAACGTTAAGTTATCTGGAACTTGACATAATTGCTCAGTGGGAGCTGAATAGCCTTTTCTGTAGCTTTAATTTGTAACTGGTGGAACATTATACTTTGGAGCTCTTAACAGGGCTGTGAGCACTTTGTAACGGGGGCTGATGGATGGATGGATATTATTCCACATACATCACCTTATTAATTAAAGCTCTTTACTTAAAGTGCAGGAAGTATAAAGCACCCGCTGTATTATAGTGGCCAGCATTGAAGTTAAAACAAAAAGGTAGATTTTTCTGTAATCTGAAAGAAGAGACAGTTTCAGTTCTTCTCTCAGTCACAACCCTTAATAGTGGAAGTGCTGCAGAAATATTGTTCTAAAGATGGACCACTGTAAATGTCCACTTCAGCTATTTCTTCTACATTATTTTGCATTTTACAGGGAAGGTGCTATATTATGCTATTAATGGCACGCTTTTCCTGAAAGCATTTTAAAGTGGCATCCAAATGTTATGATCTGCAGTTCTACATGGTTTATTATGCTGTAACAATCCTGGATAGAATTTTTAACTGATTGAATTTGTAGATGTTTAAATGTCTGAAAGTATTATATATAGCAAAGCATGGTTTAAGCATGCTGGAGTATGAGGAGGTATTTTGGAGACAAATTCAAACCCCGGTAACATAACCACTCAGATATCATGCAGATTGACATTGGGAAAAACTACATTAAAGGTTTAGACACACCTATAATGTGGTTGACATTAAGTCTATAGTTGGTTAACAGAAGCAGAAGGGGAAAAACCAATTTGGTTTCATTATTCACTTTCAGTTTGATCATAGCATTCTTTCTGCACCTGTTGTTTAAAGTAAGAAAGTTTATACTATATGTGTAAAACCTGATTCTGTAAAGAACACATTAATGTTGTCTAAAAAGCTTGCTGTAATCGCCTGATTTTCTACATGAGCACAGGGAAAACATACAAACTCCATGCAAAAAAACACCCCTGGCTGGGAATTGAAACTAAGGGCCTCAGCACCGTGTGGCACCTCTGTGCCCCTATTATTATTTCTTTTAAGCATTAAAATATCAAATATCATACAGCAGTTCCATGACATGAGCTCCTTAAATGCTAGGGACTTAAATGTTTTAGTGTTCAATTGCATCTGTTGTGTTTTTTCTAGCTTTATCGCCATGGTGACAGGTCTCCAGTCAGGGCCTATCCCACTGATCCATATCAAGAGAGTGCCTGGCCTCAGGGATTTGGTCAGCTCTCCCAGGTATGTCTCACCCAAAAAGCGCACGTATTTCAGAACTTTATTCCTGCTGTTACAGTGTAACCCTTCTACCACGCCAGACAGGGACATGTAAGCTTGCAGTCATAATCTAACACATAAGCTGTTGTTTAGAATTGCCGTTCTTCCACTGTACAGAGCAGTGAGCAAGCGTGTGATACCATGGAAAACAAATTCTCAATTCACCCCTGTTATGTGTTGTCCCCGAGTGTGAGATACTGAAGGCATTCCCCTGTACAGCTTCTGTTTGGCCACCTTTTAAAATAATGTTTAACTCACTTAACCAATTTCATTGATTTCACTCCTTCCTCGTAGCTTGTTACTGGGTTTTTCCTACTTTAATAGTGATTTCAGTCAGGAGGGAAATGGGTGCGATGGTTTTTGAGTTCAACATCAGTGACTGCATGCTGTGAAGCACTTTTAGCCCAAATAGTTTTCAGACAGCATTGTTCACAAGCCAGCGCTGCTCCTCAAGCTTAAATGTGCTGTTGTTAACTCCATCAGGATGTTTTTAATACCCTGTCATTGACTTGTTCTTTTCAGGAGGGAATGAGGCAGCATCTAGAGCTGGGGCAGCTCCTGAGGAGACGCTATCATGGTTTTCTCAATGAAAGTTACAATCGGAAAGAGGTAGCTAGTTCTTTTGTGGTCTTCTATTTTGTGTGTGGACTTTGGGAACTCAGCTCCTCACAATAAACACATTTGCAGTTCTATGCATTCAGGGCTGTGACATCATAATTGCTCTGTTCCATCTGTGCTTTAAAACTATTAAAGGCCAAACTGTGAGTCTCCAAATAAAAAAAAAACAACAGCATCTAAGGTTCTTTTTTTTTTCTCAGGGCTGTATTAAGAAAGATTTTGGAAGTCCTGGTCCTCAGCAATTTAGGGCTGTTAACCCTAACCTAGTGCAATCATAATGTTTAGGTGTAACTGGATAAGTGGTAGTGGGAGATATGTGATTACAGCTGCCTTCTGCTTACCCTCCTACTTGTATGCTTACCCTCCTGTTCCTCGCAATTTAAAACTTTGAGGGAACTTTTCACCTTGTTCAAGTGCTCCACCACTAAAGGTGCTGTTCTTGAAATGTGCTCCAGGAATTGATGGTTAGAGCCTGGGCTGCATCAGAAAGCAGCTGTGACTGGGGCTCCCATTAGTGGTGCAGTGCTGCTTCTCAGCAGACCACTGGGGTTGAGCAGTCTTTTGTTAGCCAGTGCTCTTGACTTTGACACGCCTTAGTGAGGCCTGTGGCCTTCCTGGCTCTTTTGAGCTTGCTGTATTATCAGTAACGTGTTTCATGTACTACATGTGACACTGCCTGGACTCTGTGCCATCAATGAGGTGAAAAATGGCTGATGGCTCTGCAGTACTCTTCAACAGCTGGTTAAGGGGACCCTGCAGCTAGCTGAATCAATTAGGAATTGGTGCTCTGTAATTGGTGTGGAAGGGGCACAGAGACATAGGTGGTTCCAGGTGCCTGAAGACTTCCTTCTTCATCCTTCCTACAGATTTCAGTCCGTAGCACGGATTATGACCGGACTCTGATGAGTGCAGAGACTAATCTGGCGGGGCTGTATCCCCCTAATGGATCTCAGATCTTCAACCCCAACATCCCCTGGCAGCCCATTCCTGTCCACACTGTTCCTGAAGGAGAAGACAGGGTAACACCCCTCATACCTGTGTAGTCTTGTTCTAACATTTGTTTTTATTATTAATTGTTGTTGAAACTTTGGAGTCTTCTGGGATTTTTGTTTGTGTAAATAACTTCAAATTATCCTGCTTCTTCTTTTTTGTTTTATCTCTTACCATGGCTACAGATGTCTTTTATAAAAAGCAGAACATTTTGGCCATTGTTCTGCTGAATCTTCAAATTTTTTGGTTCATAATAGTATACGTTTTTTTGCATACAAAAATCAAGCAAAACCACTCATGTTTCTCCATTTTTTCTGCCTTACTGAAGGCGGACATCTATCTTCATCAGTCTGCAGTTTTCTTTCAAGCACATTTCTTATTCTTTGTCATTTCTACTCCACATGCCTGACTGTAATTTTGGTATCGTTTTCGTATCGTTTTAGCTACTCTCATTTCCCATCCCAGACTGCCCTCGCTATGACCTCCTGATGAACGAAACAAAGCGAACGGACGAGTACATTAACTTGTTGAATAGCAACAAAGTAAGTACCAGTTTTGGTTCTGCCTCTGTTGCGAGACGAAGAATACAGTTGCATTTGTTTTGTAGTTCCAGTTTTACTCTTTCACCCTCACTCTTCTCTTCAGGAGTTTTTGGAGATGGTGAGGAATAAGACGGGGTTGAAGGATGCCACTGTGGAGTCGGTGTGGAGCGTCCATGATACACTTTTCTGTGAGGTGAGCTTGGTCCTTCTCTTACCTGCCCTGGTCAGTAGGATCCCTGATCCAGGCTGGGATGGATTTCCTCCAGTCATGTTTTCTGGATGGATGTGTCCACACTGGCCATCTATGGTCCTAAAGGCAAAAATATGATAAGAGTGGTAGTTCTGTAAGTTTGTTGTTCATTTACCAGCTGAATGTGTCCTAGTGAGAAAAGTAACGATTTCACAAGGATTACACAATGGCTTGGCGCCCTTGAAGCGGAACTGGAATGACAGGATGAGGCAGAGCCGCAGTTGCACGCTGGGCTGCCCCAGTCTTGTGATTTGAGGAGGGTGATACCTCATGTGACTTCAGTGTTTTTTTCAGTCATGCAGTCCATTTCCAAATAGGGGAATTCTGCAGGATATGGACAGCAGAGGTTTCCGTCCAAACCAACAGTTTATAGGGCTAAAAAGTTATGGTTAGCCTAAATGATTAAAAAAAAAATCATATGGATGGATAAAGGCTCATTTGTCAATTTCGTTGACAGTCTCTTTTTGTGACTGTTTGTACTGGCACTGTTCTTGCCCATCTTGGCTGATACAGAGAGGTTTCTGTAATTACAGGCAAAGCACAACATGACCCCTCCTTCCTGGGTGACTCCGGAGGTGATGGAGCAGCTGAGGAAGCTGAAAGATTACAGCTTTGAGCTGATGTTTGGAGTTTACAAGAGGGAGGAGAAGACGCGTCTCCAGGGAGGTGAGGATGAGTCAGCCATGAGCAAGCGGCATCACGCTGCTATCTCCCTCCATGTGTGTTTTGCGGCAGGGTTGTCTTTACTGGCTTCTGGGGCAGGCTCATGCCTCTTTTACTGCTGGGCAAGGAGGATACTGCATTTGTTTTTCTGAATCCATTCTGTTACGCTCCAGTTTCTGGTCAGCTGTGCTGCAGTGCGATGATTGGTTCCAGTGTGCTGTTAAAGATGTTATAGGAAAAGCAGTAAATGGCTGGATCTGGGACATGCCAGGAAAAGGAAGAGGAAAAGACCATCCGTGAGTAGGGGTCTGAGGAAAAAAAAAAGTGAGGGTCCCAGGTGAAAATTAAAAGGGGAGAGGATGGTGAGCCAACGCCGTAAAAATGACTCAAAAAAGGAAAAAAATCAAAAGGGAAAAACAAAAATAAGGCAAAGAAAAAAAATTACCATTAAAAAAGGGAAGGGTTGGGGGAATAAGGAGAAGAGGGAAACGGGGAATTGAAAGAGGAAACTTTTCAAGTAAAGAGAAGCGACTGCTTGCATGAGAGTTGAGGCTCTAATGACAGAGTGATGATACAGTGGTTCCCGGTGACTAAATCAGGGTGTCTAATAACAATAATAATAATAATAATAATAGTTTCTTTATTAGCCCTATACAATTTCTTGGATTAGGAATGCATCTTTTCGCATACCCCAGCTTTTTCTCCAGGGAGACACAGACACAGAGACAGGGAGAGAAGCTTGGGGTCAGAGCGCAGGGTCTGCCATTGTACGGCGCCCCTGGAGCAGTTGGGGTTAAGGGCCTTGCTCAGGGGCCCAACGGAGTAGGATTCCTCTGCCGGCCGTGGGATTTGAACCGGCAACCTTCCGGTCACAGGTGCAGATCCTTAGCCACAGAGCCACCGTCTGAACTAGTCCAGAGCCTGATGGGGAGAGGGTGGGAGTGTTACCTTGATTTGAAAGGCGCCCTGATCTAGTTTGAGGGGCAGGTTGAGAGCTCGTGGGAATGCTGCTGTTGCCAGGGGCAACCACAGGATGTGTCAGTCCCAGCCCGGGCCCGACATGTTCATCTTTTGTTCACCCAGATGTTTTCGCATTGCCATCCCATCCCCAGTGTGTAGCCAATTAAGCAAATTTCCACTGCTTTATTGAGAGGGCACTAACGGGCAAACCTGATGCAAGGAGGCCTGGGTAAACAAGGAAAGAGCTCTCGTTTGCTGACAAGAAATGGACTTAAGGTCTTTGCCACAGAAGCAAGCGAACAGTCTGATTGGAAACGATCAAAGCAGCATCAGCTCTCTCACTTCATTGTAACCTTTCTTTAACCTCATCTTTCATAGGTGTTCTTCTTGGGCACATTGTAAAAAAATTGTCAGATGCGGCAAAGTCTTCAGTTCCGTCTCCGAAATTAATGATCTATTCAGCGGTGAGTCCAACTTCCAGTGCTGTACTGTTTGATCTTAATTTGTGTGTTTTGGTACCTGTTGAAGGTCATTACACAGACATGGTTAGAATTTACCAGCTGTCTGTGCCAACCACTGTCAGGTAAATTTCCAAGCTAAACTTCTCAATTTCTTTCTCATTTCAAGCCCTGAAATTTGAAAGTGATGCAATAAAACATTGTTTAAAGTTCAAATAATAAACCCACATTTACGACCAGATAAAATGAAGATGTGATCTGATTTGTGGTGGCAGTTTTCATTGGTCAGTCATCTTGCTTCTACCCAATGAAAATCCTTCACTGAGTAATGGCAGCCAATCACCCATGACCAACCAGGAAATGGTGTTGCCATTTGGGATTCATTGGGAAAATCCAAGTTTTTGATTTGGCCTCAGTAGTGCTGGACAAACGGGTGACAGATTGAATTTCCTCTTTGGCTCATAAATCTGGACAGATCGTTACTTTGTCACTTCTCTTCTTTTTCTCCAGCATGACACTACAGTCGTGGCCTTGCAGTCAGCGTTGAATGTTTTCAATGGGAAACAACCCCCCTATGCTTCCTGCCACTTTTTTGAATTGTACAGAGAAGGCAATGGGTAGGTAATTCCAGATGTGCTTGTACTTTGAATTAACGATTGCAGGCGCCGTTTTCTCACTGGTAATAGCAGGCAATCTTCGTGTTTTTGAATAGTTGAGAGCCATTTCTTCATTGTTCTCAGGTCTTTCACGGTGGCCATGTTCTATCGAAACCACACCGAGCAGGAGCCTTACCCTGTAAGTTTGCCTGGCTGCTCCCAGTTCTGTCTCCTGGAGGATTTTCTCAGAGTCACCAAGTCTGCCATCCCAGAGAACAGGGAGAAGGAATGCCAGGTGGCCAGAACAATGAAGGACACGGGTACAGTGAGCTTTTAATCTTTTGCAGTGCGGTACTGTTGTCCAGATGACAGTGGCAGAACTGCATGTAGACTAGTCTGTACTCTGATTCAGGCAGCTTGAAGCATGTAGTAAAATGAAAGGGTTGTAGCATTATGTTGCACTGTTTCAGCCAAGTTTGTATTCATAAGAACTGTTACAAATGCCTTCCGACCCATTTAGTTCTTTTGTTAGTTACTGTTTACCCTGAGGAGCTCGTCTAACCATTTCCTGAAAGAAGCCAGGGTATTAGCGTCAAAAGCATTGCTGGGTAGCTTGTTGCATAGTGCTACCACCCTGTATACAAATAGTGCCAAGTCCTTGGTTTTTAACGCACTTTGTTGATGTCTGAGCTTCCACTTGTGTCGTCTTGTTCACATTATACGGTTATTCTGCAGCAGTCCATTGGGTTGACTTTGTCAATACCTTTGAGGATTTTGGATACTTATGTCATGTCCCATTATAATCTTCTCTGTTCAAAAAGCTCTGAGCTAGAAAGCTTCAGTTCTTTCAGCATGTCGGTAAAGGGCAGTATTGAGATGTTCTGTCTCAGTTATTTTGTTTTTGCATAATTTTCTCACAAAGTCCTTTTTCTTTTAATCGGGGCACCCAGAGGTGATTGTGGGACTGGCGGTGTGCGGCTGCCTGCTCTTCCTCCTCATCGCGCTGCTCCTTACCGTGCTGTTCCGGCAGAGGGATGCTCAAGATGGATACCGCCATGTTTTAAACGAGGGGGATGACCACTCCTGACAATCATTGGCGCTGCTCGGGAAACGGGATTGCTGGGATAGCGAAGAGGACCTCTAGAATTTGCGGGGCACGTGTCCCGTGAGTTCCACAGCAAGGAGGGAACCCTAAGTTTTAACATGACACTCCTCATGTCTTTGGTTGGTGCCACAGCCACTTAGCAGAAGACAAGGCTGTTTCTTCAATGGCTCAGATTGGGTTAGTATTGGGCGCCACCTAGGCACAAACACTTAGGAATCGAGTTTCCAGTCTTTCGTGTGGCATTGATCTGTTTGTGATCCTGCTTGCTTTTAAAGAAAATCAAGATGTAGATATTCTGATTCTGTTTTAATGCAATGAACATGCAAGTTTGGGGACCTTTTTATTTTTTTTATAATAAAGGCACGCAAAAGGAGAAAAAAACATTGTAGGGATTTTATCTTGATTTAATTTTATGAACGTTCAATGTTAACAAGTTCAAGTGTTAATCCACAGTGAGGGGTGGGTATTCATAAGATGTGTTAATATATCAGTAATATGGTCATCTTCCCTTAATAAGATATTGTGATTTTAAATGGGAGACATAGAATTTCAGTAGTGTCTCAAACTTGCAACAATTGCAATAGATTTTACAATTAAGAGTCCTGTACCATTACAAAAAGAATTTTGGAATCTTAAGAGTTAGGTCTACTATGTTTTTTTCCAATTTTGTTCTGCATGATCTTGATATAATTATAAGATGATCAGAAAACAAAACCTGAATAATGGACTACAGTGCTGAAATTTGCACCATAAGGGAATGACAGCATCTTGCAGTGAAAGGACCAGGAGCACGCAGGACTCCCTGGTGGACGAAGGCGTGCGTGTCCGTCTTTCTGTTTACAGTGTAGTTCCAGCAGATGGATGAGTCAGGGAGTAGTGTTGCTGTCTATTTACAAACAGGGAAATTTCAGTCAAAGGTATTGGAAAATCCTTAAGAAGACTGATGATGCATGTGACCTGAAAATTGTAACAGTACGGGAAGTCTTTCTCCAGGAGTCAGCAATTCCTTGCTTCACTATATATATATAAAAAATGCTTTTCACATCTGGGACTTTCCTTTGCGGTAGTATTCTCTCCGTTTAGTTCCATGAATCCAAGTGGACAAACCACTTAAAAGGCAAAAAAAAATCAAAGTAACTCACTGGCCACATCAATTTTCTGATGCTGAGCATCCTCACACAGTGTTTACTAATGTGTAAATCCTTCTGCTTTTTCTTTGACTGTATAAGGTCTCTACGCTAGAGAGGAATAGTCCCCTTGACCCAAATCACCGGAGGTGTCTGAATAAGAAACTGATGAGTTACTAAATGTACTGTTTATTCTTTATGACAATTTTAAGTCACCTTTTAGAGCTGAACTGTTTAATTGCTTTTTTCATTCTTAGCTTTGTTAGCTTTATTTTAGCATAATCAAAGGGAGATGTCTCAGCTGTAATGCTTTGTGTTTGGAGGTACAGTTGCTTCCTACAGTTTATCTTCATCAAACATTTAATGCCAGCTTTGAGTTGCATCCCACTGTCCTCTCAGTTCTCATCTTTCTTCATCTGCATATATCTGAGCTTGGCCATATAACTACTTCTAAAGACCGATCCCCAAATCCTCAGCCTTGTTCTAATTAGGTCTGACTCATTCAGAGAGCATTTCAATCGTCGTTTTAGGTCCTGTGCAAGGTCATGTATAGAGTTCTGACTTGGTGGAAAAAAAGGAACAAATTACTTTTGTTTTGGCCAAATTTTATTAATGTTCTCAATCTCAAAATCTCCTGTGATATCCTTTTTATTGTTTTAAATGGAATTGCTCATTAAGGATTGTGGTTTTTTTTCCTTAACAAATGTAATACAAAGAATATCTTCATACCATTTATTCGCAGCACCACGCAGGAAGTAAATGGATTAAGTTTAATTCTTTTGGACCAATTAACTATATTGATATTGGCACACAGTCTTTAAGTTACCGTTTCTGTTGGAACAAGACATGGAAAGTGCACAAGGTAATGTTAAATGTGATTCCCTTTATCTGTTAACATTTCCTTTGCACAATGTACGATGTTCTGTAGAATTAATACTGTCCATAAAATGTTTTTTAAGTGTGTGTCTGGCTTCCTTTTATTTGTTCTCAAAACCTCAGTCCTTGTAAAAGCCTGTTCTCCGATGGTACCAGAAGAAAAGTAAATATTTAACCTGTCATCATTAACAGAAATTTTCCGGGAGTCTCATTTAGCTGCTGGCAAAAATAAGCCCGCAACCGTAACAAAATCTTGTGTGGGCAAAACTGTACGCTTACAGAGCAGGTGCAAGGCAACAGCACTGGTAAGCTTATGGCAGCCAAGGGGCCCTCAGAACTTCATTAAAGGGTTGATGGGCAGGAGTGTGAGGCGCACATGATGATGGAGAAAGCAGGCACAGTCCTCAAAACACAATTTAATGTGTCAGACTTCCAAATTTAGAATGAAGGTCCAGAGCCACAGCTTTGTTGATGTCTAAGCTAATACTTGTCTATTTGGCCCTACCTGGAGAAAGGCACCAGCAGAATAGTTCCACAACCATCTGATGTACAAAGAACAGTCTGAGCCACACAGTGATGTTTCCCAGCTGCACTCCAGAAAAGACCACCATTTACATTCAAAAGCTTTATTTTACAAAAATAATCTTTTCAAAACCTGAATGCAACTTTAGTTCAAATTAGATGTTCCATTTAGGTTTAGTATTACATTTGTCTTATAAAAGAATTGTCAACTTACTGCTTTATGAAAAAGTAAACCTATCACAAATCTTATTTATGAAATACACAACGTTTGCTTTCACAAAAATAAGCAAAAACAGACTCTGCCTGTGAGGAGAATGCCCTTTTTTTGAAGAAAGGTTTTTAGACAAGTTTAAATGCTTCCTTAAGACAAAGTACGAACGAAAATGAAGAGGCAAGAAGTGGAATCTGACAAAATGAGAGAAGTTAATTGCATGTCAGTTGCAGTGTTTTTGTTCCACCTAATCCAGTAAAACTGTGGTACAGTAATGTATGGAATCCATTAGTGAACAACATCAACACTTTAAAGACACCTAGAAACTGTTTTAGTAAAAGTATTCTTGGCAAGCACAAGTACAATAAAATTGGTCCCCAGACATTCAGCCATATGTAATAAGTTCAAACAGAAAACAGACATAAAAAAAATATTCATCACATGCTTGGATATGCAAAATACAAAGCCAGACCTGCTAGAGAAATGCTGCATCTGTTCATCTAAAAACAGAATTGGGAGACAACAGGGGTAGTCCAGAACTGGCATTTATGACATGTATGAACACACAAGAAACAGGAGGAGAAATTGACTAAAACTAGAAAAGCCTACTGAACTATAGGCTCATTCTGGCAGACAGGCTGTTCAGCTCAATCTGCTCCTCTTTGGCTGTGGTTTGCATTTACAATGTGGACCACAACATCCATACAGCAGCATCCATTTGCCGATGTATTTGTATCTGCTGCTCACCTGATGCAGCTTCAGTTTCAACTACACTAACACTACTGTATGTTTTAATTTCAAATAGCTGGTGAACCATTCCAATCAGTGAGCTTCAACCCGCCCTTCTTTCTATTGAAATGTCCTTTTCAGGACCTGAGAAGACGTTGAAATGAGCTTTAGTATGACAAAGCACATGAGGAGGGATACTTGAAATAAGGCATTATATCAAGAACCCTAGTCTAATAAAAAACAATTTAATCATTTGTCTTCGTCCGGTCTCTCTGGGGTTTGGCGTTTTTTCCTTTGGTCTTGGTCTGTGTCTTTCCCGACTCTGAGCTGCCCAGTTTCTTTTTCCGCTTAGTCCTCTCTGTGCTTTCCCTGCTCTCCCTGCCCGCGTGCCGCCGAGCCCCACGCAGTCCCAGGGAGGTGCTAGCAGTGGAGCCCATGCCGAGATCGTCCCCCCTGGCTCTTATCAGCCTCTCCTGCCTGCTTCTCAGCATCTCCTCCCGGCTCCAGATCAGAATGTTAAAGCCTGCGCAGCAAAAGACAGAGCTGTCATGCCCATATCAGCTGTTCCCAATGCAAATTTTAAAATGCTGCATGCCACTAATACAGAACAGGAAATGCATGATGCTCTTAATAGCAAATCAAGATGAGGAACAGTTACATAAGTGAACTGTCCAATGTACTGCGACTACTTTTAAAAACATATCCTGCCATCAGTCTCTTACTGTGGTTCAGTATCTGCTAAATGATTACAAACCAGTCATTGATCTACGCACCCATTCCAGATCCCAGAGTATCTCCCATCAGGTTAAACTTGTTAAGCTGGAAAATAAAAAGTTTTTCAGGTTTATGGCCCGTGGTACTGTTTGTGGTTGACAGGTCACCCACAGTGTAATATTCATTACGGAATAAGTTCCTCAACAAATCAAATGTATAGCTACATGCATGTCTTTTAAGCATCGTGTTTAAACACCTGATTTAATTAACTCTACAATAAGAAATTCTGCATTTAAAGGCTAATTCACATTCGTTAATGTCATTGAAGAAACATCAAAAATAGATTTAAAGAGTAGGCAATCAAAGTTCATCCTTAGCTTTTCCAACTAGCTCTTACATACTTTCCGTGACATGGAAGACACCTGAAGCAGTTTTTCAGCATGCTAGCTCTGCAGTAGGGTAGAGCTGGCATGCCTGGTTAATCTGCTGGTCTTTAACATGGAACAAAATTGGCACTCACTGAAATAATACCAGGGGCATTGGGGTCATGCAGCTGACAGACCACTTCTCCGGTACTGGCATCAAACACATCGATGGTCCTGAGCTCGTCTGGAGAGACGCGGCTATCTGGGTAGCGGCCCGCTACAATGAGGTCGTACAGAGGGTGCCAGGTCGCCTGGAATCCAGAGGACACGGCGCGAATCACAACAATAGCACACAGCTCACTCAGTGCCAGTTATTTTACAACAAGAGCTAGTAATTGCATTATGGTTTGGCTTTGCATTATGTTCACACTTTGCGCTTGGTGGGGTATGAAACTCCACCCCCCCATCATGAACTAAAGCACAGAGCGGAATGAGAAAGCTACGCTTTTGGCTACATGTGAACACTGACCACACACCACAGGATGAGTCGGTAAGAGTCTCTTATGAGCCACAAACGAGAGGAGGACATTCAGCTCATCCAGCTTGTTTGGCAGTAAGTTAAGCTTTTGTCACACTACAGGACTCGACGTGACTTCTAGGCGAAGAACATGTCAAACTTAACGACTGAATCTCGCTGCCTTTTCTGTCCTAGAGGGTGTCAAACTATATGTCCTAGAGGGTGTCACACTACACAAATGACGGGCCCGAATGCGGCTCTATACGCCGATTGTCTTACGATTATGTAAATGAAGGCTGCGACTGAAAATCCTGGGAAAAGTCGTGTAGTGTGACGCCGACTTTCAAGGATCCAGGGATCTCACCACTCGCTGGAACTACAGTTTCTGTAGCCGTACTGCAGTGGCTTTTCACTACCGACCTTGATAGGGGTGAGGTGCTGGAACTGCCGGTGTGGGTGGATCATCACATTCTGAGGCTTGCTGAAATCCGCACAGGAGTACAATCGGATTTCATCGTACTGGTCTGTGGTGAGCAGTTTGGACCCATCTGTGGGGTTGAAGTAGGCTGTAGCACACAGAGCAAAGAAAAGAGGCGGGATGAGATACTGGTGGCCAGGACTGGAACATTCCCTTTTGTGAAACCGGGAATAGGACAATAGCAGTCGAGATGCTACAGAAACTGAAACTACCTGTAAAGGTGGGCGTATCTGATGAAAGCCACATGTGCTGCAAAGAAATGATAAGTGCGCTTTCTGGTAACCACTAAAAAGCTATCCTGTGAAAAACGTGCTCATGTCAACTCTAGACCAAACAAAATTTTAACAAACAGAAAACCTCATAGGTAAGTGAAGGTTAACAAAAAATGAAAAATGTTATTCATTACAAATAAGAAACATTGGAACTAAACAAGAATATGTCATTGAAAGACTCGCCAAGATGCGTTTCTTACCAGAGTTGACGGCCTTCTTGTGAGGCAGCTCGTGCAGGAAGCTGTTCTTGTCCCCGATGCTCCTCAGGTCCCAGATCTTCACTGTATGGTCTACAGAAGCTGTTGCCATCAGCCAGTCACAACGCTGGTTAAACTCTACATGCGTCACCTTGGCCTTGTGCAGCTTCTGATTCCAAACCTGAAAAGGGACGTTTGCCACAAAATGCGGCACATTATTTTCCCCTACAAGCACTTTTCAGGATTTACCCCCCAAAAGATGATACACAACGATCACAACACAACACACATTGCGAAAGACTGAGAGTATTACATACTGTAAGTGTCATTATCCCCTATCTCTAGCACTACTACTACTTTATAAATAAAACTTACTAAAATGCATAAATCTGACAATGATTTCTCTTCTAAATGTATTACACACTCACCCCAAATTACACATTTATTACTGTAGCAAGCAGTAATAAATTAAGACAAAGGGAGCGAATACTTATTTCTACAGTTACCTATAAAGTTACAGCATATAAAGTACATAATACTGTGTAATCATGCGTACACTGTCATTTCAATCACTAGAAAGTTTAAGCATCGCACACAATGATAAAGAGTATCAACTAAACCTAGAATGTATATATTTGTCAAATCTGTAATAATTTAACAAACTATATTAATCATCAATATGCAATTAAATAACAGAGAGTGCCTACTGTGTCTGTGGTAGCAGTTACATTCGTCCTTGCCAGGCCAGCCCCCCTCACTCACCTTTGTACCATCCATTCCTAGTAGGAGGACTCTGCCAACATTGTCTCCAGTCACCACCACCTGTCTGCTGGGTGACACATCAACACTGCAGAACCAGACACTGGGAAGAAACACAGATTGGGATCACCACCAACCAAAGACCTTCTGGACTTGCGCTCTGCTGGGTTACTGGCTATAAAACAATTCCACCTGAGTTGTCCACCCTTTGGGTATCGAGCAGATTTCCCAAAAGCCAGCAAAGCGAAGATTTTTGCTTAAGGAGAACCAGGTGTAAGTGCTTAACAAGCCTCTCTTCACTGTACAGGTGAAGCCAAGGTTAACTGCTTTCCTTGGACACCCCCTGAGTATTTACAACAATGACTTCTACGCTCACTGCAAATACGGTCCACCCAGCACTGCAGCTGTCTCAGTAAAATGCCCAGAACAAGGACTTTAGATCAAGGCATGAGGCTGCGATCCAGCAAGTGTACATCGTACATACTGTACATTTAACTGCCAAACTACTTCTGACAAACACAGGAAATAATATAGTGTTGTTCGCAAGGTGATTATTGGCACACGGATTATACTTTACTGCCGAGAGACAAATTCTATCATTTTAGCTAGTAAATTATGGTCACAAAAGGCAACATGCCAAGATGAGCTGAAAAGTCTTACTCCCAGATCTAACTGGCATGAAACACTGCAGCTAGTATGGTGTTCTTTTATCAGCGCTGAGATCGTTTATTTAACTTCAGTGTCCATAGTGGCACTGTTTCTAAGAACAGAACAATAATTACACAGATATAAGGACAGTAGTTGTGCCCCTGCAGCCTCATTAGAGGTGCTCACACCTTGAGCCCTGTTTTCTCACCACACATTATGGTGATCGTGGCCACAGTCTGGAGCTCTTGACAGTATTTGAGACGGACCACCACCAAAGTCCTGCAGACTCAGTGAGCCGTCCCCTGATGCAGTGTAGATTTTGGATGGGTCAGTGGGACTGAACTTGATCTCGCCGACAAAATCCCCTGCTCCTTTCTGGAACAAACACAGGCACACGGGGATGAATGAGGCCAGATCTCCGCCATAACATCCAAAGGATTCACACCACAGTGAATCACTGAGGCAAACACTGAACAGGAACATGGAAGCTTGGCCTTCAATCCCACAGCAGCTCAAACTAAAAACACTGTAGATCTGTACCAGCACGCCTCAAGCCTCATGGCATCCATGCGCCCTCCAGTGGTACTTGATAATACCTGCACTGTTTGCAGGTAAGAAATGTCACCACTGAAACTCCTCCGATTTCCTTTTGGTTTCCATTTTTAGATTTTAAATTGCAGAAATCAAAGGAGAAGGAATAAAGGTGCAAATTGTGTTTTGAAGGCGGAAGTTTTAAATAAAAAACTGTATGTAATGGAGATTTAACCAAGTGAAACAACATCATTCAAACTTCCTCCAAGCAGCCCAACAGTCTAATATAGTGCTCATACGTGGAAGTTACAAAAGTAAAATCCAGTCTAGAGAGAAGACTACAACAACAACAACAAAATGTATATTTTTACAATACACTACAGAGGAAAGGTCAGCTTTCGAATCTTTAAAATCAAGGCTAACAGTGTAACGCTATGCATGCAATATCCCAGTGTATGTAAACAGTTGTTTTTCTTCAGAATTTATACTTTTGAAATGTATGTCATTAGGTTTCCATGCCACATACATACTGTACATTTAAAAAGGATCATTTAACAAAAGTACCAATGTAATATGTGAAATTAATTGAAATTGGTGAGTAGCAAAGGCTTACAACAACATGATTCATTTGCATAAAGCTTGTTTCTGTAACCTACTGTTAAACAGTATTGTGGTAATGACAATCCCTTTCCCTAAGGAACCTTATTATATTCATCCTTGAAATCAAGTCACTGGTTACTTCTGCAAGCAGTAAAAGTCTGAGACAAGAATCTATTGTTCTGTCTTCATCCTTGCATGTGATGCTAAGACTTTGTATTTCAGTTAACAGCTGAGCTCAAGAATGCAAAAGATTAGATATTGCAGTGTAAAGTTACAGCATTGTTAAACACACTACAATAGGATTGTCAACTATATGCTGTACAGTAGCCAAATGCCTTCATCTTGCACTGAGCAGTGAAGAAGTTATTGGGTATTATTTTACAACCATAACACTAAATTCTAAACTTAAATATTTATCCTGGAATAGTGAAGAGTAGGTCTGTAAGTATTAAAACTGATTCTCCATTTATGACATACTAGGGATACACTGATGATAAATGAACAACTTTTAAAATACGTAAGTGCTTAGACATGTCTTAAAAGACAATCATTCACATGGCTAGAGACTGAATTAAAATGACATCACTCTAATCAAACAGAACCTTACTTTTATGCATCATTCTCTTTATTTCTGCCATTAAAAAAACATGGATTTTCAAGTTCAGTAGCGCTTCTAAAAACTGGTTCATCATGGCATTACTTAGGTTCAATGTAAATGCCACACAGGAAAACAAAAGACCAGCTCAGCTGGACTGTGTATTTCAGTTCACTGCTTTGGAAAGAATAAGGAAATTGGTCAGAAATCTGAATATAGCTAAAGATCTGCAGTGCTCACAATTGACATGAATACTAAGAATATTTCTGCTTTAACATGGCCAGACAGGACTTGCTGATGCTTGATTTATTTTTTATTTCTGCTTCAGCTATGAAAAAATGACCATAGAATTCCATAAAATAGCAAAGATTTACCAAAACAGCTGGAGAAGCTGGAGTATTACGTAGCTGCTTCCCAGAGTGTTAGTGTATTTTCAGAAGCATCTACCTCCATTGAAAAACAAAATCCTACAGCAGACTTAAAGGATCTGAGGCAATAATAAAATATACTGTAAGTCATGACACACCATTAAACTATACTAAGATTCACTGTACAAGTGTCTAGTTTTGCCCTTCGGCATTTTTAAAAGTCAACAATAAGTTAAAAAAACTGCATCAAAACTTTCTTACTCCCACTGATGAGTGCTGGCAAAAACTTTAATAGTGTTGCCTGTAAAATCCTGCAGAGAGGTTGTGCCTCCGACAGACGATGTAAACAGCTGACTGGGATTGAAAGGGTTAAACTTCATGTCTGTTATGGAGCCCCCAGCTCCCATCTAAACAAATATAAAAAAAAACACAAAAGGAAAATATCTCAGGACACTGATCACGGTGTGCTAACTACATTCTTGGAATGGAATTCACACCCAGACAAAACCACAGCATACTGTATATATCTGCCAGGCCTGGAGAGAAACCACTCACCCCTTGGATGAACTTGGTATTCTTTGACATTTCGTAGTCCAACAACACTATGTCCCCCCCCTTGGAGCCTACTGCCAGGGTGCTGGGGCACGTTGGGTGCCACTCCAGGCACGTCACCCTGCGATCGAATGGGCTGGCTGCATGGAAGAGACTGTAGGAGTTCAGAAAGCGCAGGAATGGCTGTTGTAGGCACTGGAGAGACAGGAGAGCCACATCGGTCTTCCAGACAAGAAAAGAGGCCACATTTACAGAGGGATGGCACAGGCAGTGCAGTTATTTCTCACAAGCACGCTTCAAATGTGTGTTCTTAAGATACAACTCCGATGTCCGGAGACAGAAACAGCACACTTTTTTTTTTCTTTTTCGCTCCGTATGTGACTGACTATATGTCAAATGTTTGTGTAACAGGGAGCGGTCATGGCTTGATAAAATCACTAAGAGAGTTACCATTATTCTGCTATACCTTACAAAATCATTTTATCTTTCTGACAAAAAGGGGAAAAAAAACGTTCTTTAGACGGCAGCTCTAAAAAGAAATTCAAACCTGGCGCATCTGTGACTGGATGTTCTGACCCAGTGAGTGTTTATACACATAATGGACAATACTGTTCTGCCTGGCCGCCTTCTGAAACCCCACACTCTCTCTGTTATTCTGGAGGCCAGATCTTGCTTCTGAAATAAGAACAAGACCAGAATGATTACAAAAAACATCATTTTCGCCAAACCTACCACTAAACATAACCATTATCGGGGTTAAACCTGGGGAAACCTGTCTTTTTTAAATGTCCCACTGAAATTTAGAAGTTAAAAAAAAACAATCGAAAAGCAAAATCAAAGCAATACTCTCATACCACTACAAGTTTGAGTTATTCAAACTTTGTAAAGAATTAGCCAGGATTTTACTTTTTTCAGTACATGACATCTAGTCAAATCCCACTGGCTGTTTATGGTAATTCTTACATTTCTAAAACCAAAGTCATTTAAAGTGTAAATAAATCGAAGAGACCGCATGTACAGGAATATCCTCTGGCTAATTCCATAAAGTCAGAGGAAACGACAATAAGGAGCAGTGGAAAAGGTCGCTTTGTAACAACCATGCACATCGTTTTTTAAGTAACATTCCCTTGTCTTCTGGTACTGATTGCTTGAGCACAAGCACCAGCAGATGGAGCAGCAACTCAGAGGGGAACCGCTGGCGCCGCAGTCTCATTCCGCCCACTACTTGTTGGGGAGCTGGGCAGGCATGCCTTATTGCTGAACCGTCCCTGCTTGGGGAAATTCAACTTGAGACAAAGCCATGAGCTCCAGTCACACACCTGCTTTCCCCGGAACGCCTTCCTTTTTCTTCTTCAGCTTTCTTGAGAGGGGTTCTTCCGAAGGCTCTGCTCGTTTGCTCCGAGAGGTGGATGGCCTTTCCTTTTGGCGTTTGGGCACCGTGCTGTCCAGGAGAACTTTCTTTCTGGCCATCGCTTTCCCTGTGCTGTTCACCTGGTGTATCGGATAAAAAGGAACACGAAAACTATTTCTGTGCATGAAGGGTTAAATAAGTTCACACTAAAGTCAGTGCTCTGTGTAATGTATTCCTACAAAATACTACTAGACCTCGTTTAACTAAACTAACTAAACGCTTAGCATTTTCCTGGTATCTGACTGAAGAACATAACTTTGCAATAACGTGAGAATACGGGAGATATCCAGCTTTAACATAAGGGACTAGTTGCTCTTACAAAAAGTGCAGGAATGCAGAAGAAATGTATGCATTTAGCCTCTCAAAGCATTCTTAGACAACAATAACAATTCAAAAGCACTGCAAGCTTTTCGATGTTTAAAAAAAACACATGCACTTCTATTTTTAACAAGCAATTTGGGTTCTACTTCCCCTCCTATAGTTTCGTAACACCATCATTAAATAAAATTACGAACAGCAAAATTCCCATCTTAAAACAAAGCCCGTGCAGTCATACGTCACCTAATCCTTTGTAAAAGACGCTTGAATGAGGTTCTTTATGGTGATTTTTTAGAGGGTGATCGATACTAAGCGCTCATTTGCCTAACACATGGACGCAGACACGATCGATTTTGTTTTTAATGACGTCACGACCGGGTTGTTTTGTAACATTTTCTCTTTGTTAATCCAGCAGGTGGCAGTACTAATACATCCACTTTTCCGTCCCCCTTTTTTTCTTTCAGCGGAAGACAACTTTCCGACAATTGTCTACTAATCATTATGCACATTTTGGCCAATTTCGTAAAGGTTTTAAGACAAATCAAGGTTATTGTGAGTACTACGTTTAAAAATATATCACATATCACCAGTTTTCAGGTGTGTTAGGGAAGATCAGATTGATCGGAATTATCATCGATATTCAGGGACATTAGACAATCAAAGCGTAGACTGAAGACTCAGGTAGCTGAAGTTCACACATGATGGTGCTGATATATATGATCAAGGTTGTATGCAATATTTGTGGAGCAGATTGATTCAAATTAGAACCACGTAGACTTAAAGACAACCGGGCCGTTAAGATCATTCCAAAAGACAATACAGAAATATGAATCCTGGGTGCCTGGAAACTGAAACTCTAGGAAAGTCCAGTCCACTGTTTTTTGTAGGTAGCCTTAAAGCCTTAAAAGTTTGAACTCACACTGGTAATATTGTAGAATAAATCCAAAAATGATTGAGGGCTATTTGTGTAAGGGTGTTTGATAAACACCTGAAAGAGACAGATCACCAAATCAATTATTTTGTCATAAATCATTCCACTCCTCATCTATAAATAGTCCAGTCTGATAGCTTCTATCTTCACCTTGGAAGTAGATGCCATTTTTGGTACTTTCATCCTTATGCATTTTCTATGTTTTTTTAAATTAAGACAATAAACAGTCAGAAGCAGTTCAATTACAGGGTTCGATTGTGTCACTGAGGGCTCAGCTGGAACAAAAACAAACAGGTGTGTTGGTCATCAGCACCAGGATAGGGAACCACTGATTTATGAGCACACCGAAGAAGACTGAAAGTAAGGTATTATCTATGTCAGCAGGAAAATGCACTTAAAACTCATTCAGGAACAGAAAGATGAGCTATTCCCCTTCAGCTACCTTGAAAAGTATGCTTCTCTCTCTGAAACAGAAGAATGAGACTCTCAGATTAATTACCTACTAACTACCAAACCAGCTGGGTCAAAGGGTCTCCTGCAGTGTGTAACATTTCTTTAATTCCCATCTTTGCTGACCATTCACAGTTTGACTTTTAGGCGTTGTAAATTACTGACACTCTGCAGTGCTGTTTTTCTTAATGATGTCATTTATTTTAGAAAATTAAGTTCTAAAGTACAGAGACTGCTTAATATTGAACCTGAGCAGAAAATCCTCCGTGGCATTAAATTGAGTACGTCTCCGGGATGTTCCCGCGGAACACCTTTTCCAGCTGGACTATATTCAGAAAATAAGAAGCTCTTGTGATGCAATATACAAAACGATGCCTAATCATTCAAAATTCTGAATCGATAAAACAGTGGCATTATCCTCTTCACAATTAGCATCGGCACCTATAGGGTTAAATCCAGTAATTGGATTAATGCGTAGAGCGGAACCACAGGATCCAATTACACCCCAGAAGACCCTTCCAGAAGAGAAGAGAAGACAAGTTGTCTTTTAACCTGCCTGAGGAAAAATACCCAAACAATTATATGTTCGATATTTTCTTCATTTCTGCTCGGTTTTTGAACTTCTCGTTGTCATTGTGCCTCGAAATTGGCCTTGCCGGTCGAGTAATTCCCAAAGAAAATTCCTCTTCTTTTCTGCTCTATGGCGGCGAAGTGTTTGTCTGCAGTCCTGCTGTAACCGCGCATCAACTCTACGGTAATAGGAGCTTGTAACTGAGGGGGGGAAAAACCCGCAGGTCTGGTTAAAGTCGGAGGGGTGTTACCGTTTACTCTCATAAATGCACTGAGGACTTCTTAAACGCGAAGTGCGGATTTTCCGTTTATCTGTGTTTTGCAACAAAATAGGCATTCTCTGGAAATAAACTGAAGTCGCAACAGGTAAGGATCAGAGAGAAATGTCACAATGAGATGTTGCTCAAATGCTCCATGTGAAGTGTAAAACGTTTTTTTTTTATTATTATTTGAGCCGGATCTCCCACCTTCGTATATATATATAAAATAAAGTACGGCGTTGCACGCCTGTGGAAGGTTTAAAAACCATTTACATTCCAATAGCGTCAATAGATGTCTGTGGAGTACAGTTTCATAGGGCTCAATTATAGTCCAGATGCAATAGGACCGTTGATTTGTGAAGTCGTCACTCATTACTTCTTTTTAGCTTGTCATCAAGTGACGAATATTTGCACGAAACTACTGAATGCGAGTGTTCTCTAACGGTCCCATAGATGTGTTTTATTTTTTTCTTTTGCTCGCAGTCAGTATGGAAATAGTGGATTTGTTTGCGTGGGGTGCTGAACTGTAGTCTAGTGACCTCGCTTGGGAGCACAGCGTGCACCGCGCTTTCCTCCGGTGTATCCCTTTTCATTGAAATCCAACCTGGGCTCCGGAGAGGAAGACGAGACCGGTGGGTTCCGCGTAAACTGTTGAAAACCGGACCACTCTGCCCTCGCTGCAAAGATAAAAGGGATTGGTTGGTACTGGTGTCGTTTCTAGGTATTTTAAACAACGTTGTTCGTGTCAGTATTAGTTTCTTTCTCCGCCGTCTTTGCGAGTGCTTTTTGTTTGCCTTTAAGTATCAGAATCTGCCCGTTGTTAAAGTCGATTTAAAGGAATATTTGTAAATTTAACGGTGTTGTTTTTGTTACTTCGCAGTTAATTTATAAGCGAACGAAATGCAACAAATGTTTGACGGCGTATACAATGTAATCGCTTAAACGATTCCCCTGCGTAGGGTTGGTAGTAGTAGCCCTTTCCAGTTGAGTCGCATTTTAAGTACAATGCAAGGCTTTCCATTGAAATATACTCTTTCGTTTTTTCTCAGTGGGACAACTTTCTCTTAATATGACACAATCTTATGTTGTACCCATCGAAACAGGTGACCTCCTTCTGAGCTTGTAGGTTAATTCAGTTGTGAAATATATAGGGGTCCCAGAGTCAGTGCTGTTGTTTCCCTTGGTGAATGGATCAGGTTATTAAAGAAGGATACAATTATTTTAGTCTGACGGTTTACCGTGTGTGTTTTTACGCATGGAACCTGTATTAAAAACTAGAAGAAGAACAGACATTTTATTTGGAATGCATGATTTACAAAAGTGTCGGATGTAAGATGTGCCTTCAATACGTGTAATTGTATTGTACAACCTACACGGATGCTGAGGTTAAAAACAAGAACTTGAGTACTAATACACCACTTTTGCGTCGCAAGTAAACTGCACTCAGCCGTGAATGCAGCCCCCTGCGGGTTTTTGGAGCTGCGCCCTCGACCACTTTGGGTGGAATAACGTTACCGGCCTCACAGTCCCCAGTTAGCTCTTAGGGGCTTGGTGTCCGAGTAGACTTCATTTCCTCCCCAGTTAATAGGAACTGATTTATAACAAAACGTTAAGGCTGAGAGAAAGACCTGAAAAAATCAGGAATGGAAACAGCTGGTTCCATTAGTAACTGAGTTTGCGTTTAGAAAAAAACGCAGAAGTGCGACACATCTGTGAATTCTTTAGCATTAACCCTAAAAATAATCACTTTGCAGCCCACAATGACTAGTCCAGAGGGCTTAAGGTTAATCTATAGTTGAGCCGCAAAATGCATTAGAACTACATGCATTTCTCAAATGCTGATAAACGGCAAAAAATGTATTTGTGCTTTTTTTAAAAATTAGCTTAAGATTACTTTATGATACCATTTATTCTTCCACCTTACTGAACAATACCTTTTCACTCAACAGGAGGCAGCCAAAAACCTTCTGTCCCCTATTCAGATAATCTGTTTTTTATTTAGAAGTTTATCTTGCTTTAAGTAAACAAAATTTTAAATGCTTCCTTATTTAGAATGATCAGGAGAGGGTTAAAGTGTTTGGTTTTGCATTCCTTAGCACAAGAGGTACTCCATGTTTACCAAGTGCATAATTCTAGGAAAATGCTAGTAAAAAAATTACCAGTAACTGAGTTCTTTTTTATAGTAATGGCATGAGTTACAAAGTGTTGTGTACTACAAACAGAAATTAATCCCTGTTATGCTTGTGAGAATTGGAGGACGAATTGGTGTCTTGAGTAGAGGGGTGTGGCTTTAAACGCTGAAAAACAGTGTAGTTAAGCCATTTTCTTCCGGGTCATGCTATTCTGAAAATGAGATCTCTACTGGAAATATAGCAGTATCTAAAGGGCACACTATCAAATTTCAGTTGGAAGTTTATAAATGATTTTCTTTGTTTCACTGAGCATGAAAGCATGGCACATTCTATATAATAGTTTTTGTATGGACAAACTACAAACTGATTTTACTGCAAGGTTTTTTGTTAACTGTAGAATGGAAATGGGACAGCTGTTACCACCTAGGGTGAAAGATTCTTGTTTTGTGTACTTTTATTTACCTTCTGGACATGGAATACAGGTTTTCTTAATAATACGAGCTTGAAAAATGAATGTGTCTCTGTGTTAATTTGTACTTTTACTTATTAACTATCATTATGCCTGCAAGTGCGAGTTGGGGTGTGGCAGTTTTAAATTATCGCCAAGAACAGGGCATGAAGTAAGATTGTTGTAAGAGAAAGTTTGCAAACCAGAGGAGACCTTTTGATCCACCTTGGTTTGCTTGTTAGTTTAGTAGCAAAGGTCATTAAAATTTTACTCAGGCACTTCTTGAAGGGGCCCTGTTTGGGCCTCAATCATTTGGCTGGGACGCTTGCTCTCACACCTGCAACACATTGTATTAATAATTTTTCTAATTCCCCTTCAGTTTCCTGTTGAGCTGAGCCTGAAGAAGTCCATTGGGCTGACTATACGTTTTAGGATTTTATATTCATATTAATCATCCTTTCAGTGAAGAGATCTAGTTTTATTTACTGCATGTCTGTATATGATAGTCTTGAGACCAGGAATCTGTCCTGCTGCTTTTTGAGAGTTTTATAGGAATATAATACTCTGAGAAATGGTGAAATCTGAGCATAATTTGATGAAAGATCCGAATGTCCTTGCTCTTGATTCAAG